GAGGAGGAGGAGGAGGAGGAGAAGGAGGAGTCCTCCAGGTTGCGCCGGGCCGCGGCCTTGCGGCGCTCCGCGTGGTAGGCCGCCCGCACCTCCCGCAGCTCGGCCTCGTCCAGCTGCGCCCGCCGCCCGTGCTCCAGGGCGGCCTTCAGCTCGCGCTCCTCTGGCGTGCCCAGCGCCCGCGACAGGTGGCTCCGCGCCTCCTGCTTCCTTAGCGAAGCGAAGAGTGACATAAACATAGAAACTCGGAGGTCCGCGCGGATTTCTCGGACCGGCGCTGGACCCCCCCGCTCCCTGGCGCGCGGAGCGCGCCAGGGGCGGCGCCGAAGGCGCCGCCAGGGGGTCCGGCGCGGAACCGAGAAATCCGCGCGGACCTCCGAGTCTTTATGTTCATGTTATTGTTCGTTCCCCTATTCCTCTCGGCGAGCGCGAGCTCGTCCCTCGCCAGGTCCAGCAGCGCCCGATCCACGCCGCAGAACTCGCCTCCGCCGATGGCCTCCTTCAGGCCCTGCACAGACTGGTCCTGCACCGCCTCCAGCAGCTCCAGCGTGCACCTCGCGCGCTCCAACTCCCCGCCGTCCAGGCCGCAAGCGTCCGCCTCCTCGACGGCAGCGCGCACTGTGGCCACCTCGCGCAGCGCGAGCGCGAGCACCAGGTGGCAGCGCGCGATCTCTTCGGGCGCCACGCCGGCCTCCCTGCTCTCGTCGACCGCCCTCTTCAGCGCAGCGGTGTTGATGCGCCCCGCCTCGGCCCTCTTCTTCATGGCGGCGAGCGCCGCCGCCCGGCGCCCCTCCCGGTGGAGGATCGCGGCCGCCGTGGCCAGCTCCGCCTGGCAGAGGCCTGCCTCCCGGCCCCTCCCGAGCGCTGCGTGGAGCGCGTCCAGGTCCCTGGCGCTCAGGGCCTCCTGGATCTGCCTCCTGGCCGCCTCCCGGCCCTCCTCGTGCGCCAGCGCCTCGCGGGCGTCGCCCAGCCGCGGGGCCGGCACGCCCAGGGACTCCGCCTGCCGGACGCCGTCGCGCAGCGCCTGGAGGTCTCCCAAGGCGATCGCGTCCGAGAGCGCTCGCAGCACGTGGTCCCTCTCCTCCGATACCTGCAGCGCCTCCCTTGCCCTGCTCAGCCACTCGCCCTCGCCTTTGCACGACGGGACTGGGGACGGCCAACGGTGGGCAAGATGCTCACAACAGTGGTGCTCGTTCGAGTGGGAACGGGTGTTGCTGTCCGCCGGAACTGTCATGACGGTGCTTCTTGTCATGTTGTAAGCAAGTCTTGTGCTTTTGGACAACCAGAGCTGACAAATGAGCAAGGGGTGCTGCCAACATGACAAGAACTGTTGTCCGATGGGCCCCGCAGGACAACAAATCTTGTCCCGATGAGCAATCGCTAGTACTGGGCATCTTCATAGTGAAGGGGCCGAACGGTCTTACACCATCCCTAGGTGCGTGGGGCAGTGGGGATCCGCGGCCGGGATTCTGCTCGTTGGTGCTTGTTGCTTGTTGTTGTCGTGGTCCTCGCCCGCGACCCGCCCGCGACACACCCGTGAACCACCCCGCGACCCACTCCGCGACCCGCCCGCGACCCGCCCGTGACCCACCAGCGAACCTCCCGCGACCCCCCCCACGCCCGCCCCCCCACGCTCATCCGCCACCGCGGGGTGCCACGTGCCCCTATCTTCTGGGGGCGTGCAGCTCGCCCGCGGAGCCGCCCAGCTCCTCCGCGAGGGTGATCGCCGCCCGCAGGCGCTCGGCCTCACCGAGGGCCGCCGCAAACTGCAGAAGGTACGGGACGCGGTCGCGCTCCTCGACAGGGCTGGACCTAAACGTTGTTGTTCGTTTTCTTTTCGTTTTGCTCCACCTGTTCTCCTGCACCTCCCTCCCAAGACAACAAAAAAACAAGACACAGCCGAAGTTCAGCAAAACAGCGTCTAGGTTCAAGTCGGGCCTGTCCTCCTACAGGGGTTTTTTGACAACAAATTCAACATCGTTTAAACAAACACACCCGAATGGTCAAACAATGCTTAAAACATACCTAGTCCCAACAATATGTTGTGACCATGTTTGAAAAGTCTCCCCCTGTAGAGGGACAGGCCCGACGTAAGTTTAGGTCCAGCCTTGCTCCTCGAGGCCGGCGGCCGCGGCCTGCTGCTCCGCCCGGCGGAAGCGCTCCTCGTCCGGCCCCTGGGCGGCCTCGGCCAGCCGCTCGCGCGCCTCGGCCCTGGCCTGGAGCTCGCCCACCTCGGGACCCTCAGATCCTGGCGCTGCTCTCGTCAAGAGGCCCAAGGGCACACGAATAACTACACTCAAGTCCCAGGATTCCCAATTTTCTCCAATCTATTCTGGGTTTTCGTCTTCCCCCCAATTCCCATAGTTTCCATATTTTCCGGGGAATCGACGATTCATTGCGTCCGTGTGTTGCTTCCCCTCCCGAACTCTCGCACAACGAACATTTCTGCCGGGTTTCAGGCCCCAAGACGCTCGCGGATCGAGTCGTGACGCTCTGCGATGTGGCATTTTTCCTGCAGCGGCGGACCTCCGGGGAGGCAGCTCCTGGGAAGTCATCGTCGGAACGACCACGGGCTGCTGGGCCCGACCAGGGGGCCATCGAGCCAGAGCGGGCCCGATGGAGCCCGGGACAATGCCGAGCTCAGCGGGATGAGGCCAGATCAGACCAGATTCGACCAGACTGCGCGGGACCGAGCCAAGCCAGACTGAGCCAGCCTTCGACCAGGGATGTCCCAGCGCCGATTCTGACTCTGACCTCCGAGGGGTTGCGTCCTGACCCACCTGCCGCTGGACTCCCTCCAGCTCCGCGTCCTCCAGGCCCGCGGCCCTGCCCTGCTCCAGCGCCGCCTCCAGCTCCGCCAGCTCCCAGGGAGGAGAGCCCAACGCCCGGATCTTAGCCCTGGCCTCCTCCTTCTGGGCGGCGAGATCCACACATGGCCACTGCCCCGGCCAGACCCATCCTGGGCCCAGGAGCTGTGTATCTGTCCTCCTGCCTTGGCCCAGGGGGGGGGGGGCGGCACGTGCAGTCAGAGCGTGACTTGAGGACGGGCGGTGAGGACGCAACAGACCCTCGGAGGCCGAATCTGAGACGTTTTGAGGCGGCGGGCGACCTGTGAACACGGCAGAGGACGGGCCGCAGAGGCCAGGGCACGAGGGAGGAGGAGGAGGAGGAGGAGGAGGAGGAGGAGGAGGAGGAGGAGGAGGGAGGAGGAGGAGAGGAGGAGGGGAGGAGGAGGAGAGGAGGAGGAGGAAGGAGGAGGAGGAGGAGGAGGAGGAGGAGGAGTGAGGAGCAGGAGGAGGAAGGGGGGGGGAGGGGGAGGGAGGAGGGAGGAGGGAGGAGGGAGGAGGGAGGAGGGGAGGAGGAGGAGGAGGAGAGGAGTAGGAGGAAGAGGAGGAGGAAGAGGAGGGGGGGAGGAGGAGGAAGGGGGAGGAGGAGGAGGAGGAGGAGGAGGAGGAGGAGGAGGAGGAAGAGGAGGAGGAGGAGGGAGGAGGAGGGACGAGGGAGGAGGGAGGATGGAGGAGAGGAAGAGGAGGAGGAGGAGGACGTGGAGGAGGAGGACCAGTGGAAACCCAAGAGTCATCAACGATGTTGGAATTAACCCACCCTCCAAACTCCCTCTTCATAGGCACCTACAACGGTTCATTTCCTTCGAGGGAACTGCTGAAACGTGCCAAAACATGTGTCTCGGGATTCAAAGCCACGTATCAGCCTGACTGCTGCGCCTTGACGATCCAGAGAATCCTGTCAGAACGCCGTTCTTGGGACTTCAGCACAGCGAATAAACATAACTGTTGCGCCCGCATAATCCGGAATCCTTTCAAAAAACCCTTTGTGGTGCGTTGATCATGGGACTCCCTGAAAATCTTACTCACATTTAAAAGAACAGTGTGCGCGGCTAGAGCGAGAACCACATTTTGCAAAAGAACCGCCCTCAATCCGTGAAGCTCTTGCAATTTTGTTGAGCCGAATGTGCGCGGCGCTGAGGCGAGAGCCACATTTGGAAAACGACCCGCCTTCAATCCGTGAGACTCTTGCAACTGTTTGAGTCGAGTGTGCGCGGCGCTCAGGCGAGAGCCACACTTTGAAAACCACCCGCCCTCAATCTGTGGAGCTCTTGCAATTTTGTTGAGCCGAATGTGCGCGGCGCTAAGGCGAAAACCATATTTTGAAAACCACCCGCCCTCAATCCGTGAAGCTCTTGCACATTTTGAAGACGAACGTGCGCGGCACTGAGGCGAGAGCCGCATGTTGAAAACCAGCCGCCCTCAATTCGTGAAGCTCTTGTAATTGTTTAAGCCGAATGTGCGCGGCGCTAAGGCGAGAGCGACATTTGGAAAACGACCCGCCCTCAATCCGTGAGACTCTTGCATTTTTGAGCAACATGTGCGCGGCGCTAAGGCGAGAGCCACATTTTGAAAGCGACACGCCTTCCATCTGTGAAAGTGGTGTCACTTTCTAAGTCTCAGGTTCATAAGTGGTGGGGAAGTCTCCGGCGAAACGCCCGGCCCGCTCTAAAAACTGGCCTCGGGGTGCGACAGGGAGGAGTTATCTATAAGGAGAAGGAATGGAGGAGGAGGAGGAGGAGGAGGAGGAGGAGGAGGAGGAGGAGGAGGAGGAGGAGAAGGAGGAGGAGGAGGAGCAAGAGGAGGAGGAGGAGGCGGAGGAGCAGGAGGAGGAGGAAGGAGGAGGAGGGCACCCCGGAGGAGGGCGCGCGCGCGTCCCTTCGTCCTCACCTGGCAGGCGGGGGTCGACTGCACGCTGCTCCAGGGCCCAGGCGCGGCCCGGCCACGAGGGGGTGGCTGCGCACGGAGCCCGCCGCCCGACCTGCGCCAGCGCGGCCCGCCTCTCCTGCGCTTGCCTCTCGAGCGCGGCGCGCCCCTCCTGCAGCAGGCCGCCGCCCAGCCCGGCGGCCTCCGCCTCCTCCAGGGCGGCCTGCAGCCCCTCGAGGGCGGGCGCGCGCAGCGCCTCCCGGAGGGCTGCGGCGGCGCGGTCGGCGCGCCCGAGCTCGTGCAGGGCCTCCCGCGCGGCCTGCAGGGACCCGTCCTTGAAGGCCACGTGCTGCTCCGCCTGCTCGATCGCGGACTGCAGCGCGTCGACGTCCCCGGTGCCGATGGCGGCCTCCAGGCCGGCCTTGAGCTCGGCGAAGAGCCGCGCGTTCTGCTCCTCGAACAGCACGCCCCTCGCCTGGTCGCACAGGTCGCACTCCTCGAAGCCCTTCGCCTCCGCGCTGGCGATGGCGGCCGTCAGGGCGTCGATCTGGCGGGCCTGGATCGCCTGCTCGAGCTCTTGTCTGATCTCTTCGAAGAGCGCCTGGGCGTCCCTGAAAATCTGGTCACGCATCCGCTCCAGCGCATCGTGCGCCCTCTTCTTCAGGAAGACCCTCGACTTGCCCACGGCCATGCCCCGCTTAGCGTCGGGGCCCTCGCAGAGCTTCTCCAGCACCTTGAGAACATGCGTCGAGCCCCGCCCCCGCAGCATGTCCTTGAGGCGCGGGCCCGCTGGGCAATCACAGACGACACCGCTGCTTTTGCATCCGACGTTATAGCACTGCCAACACTTGTGCTTGTTGTCTGCCTCGTCCGGCAGCTTGCAAAAGCAACACCCAGAGCCGCCGCACGAGGTGCAATCCTCTGGGTTGTCTACCCTAGCGAGCATGACGTAGAGAGTGAGGAACGCGTCAAAAGGCAACCGGGTCGAAAAACCTGACTGCCGGATGTGGACGGCCTCGAACACGCCCGAGTAGAGCAGCTGTTCCAGCACAAGCTGCGATGTGAACTTGCTTGCCACCTTCTCCGCATTGGGTTTGACACACCGGATGAAATTTGGCTGCGCTTCCTCAATCTTGCCCATCAGCATTTCCAGCGACTTCTGAAACATGATGCTGACAGTCTTTTTTTTCGCACCCTTCTGATTGCTGGAGTCTTCTGCCTCCTGCCTGAGTTGCTCGCCTAGGTCTCGCAGGATGCCGATTGTAGAGCCCTTGAGCAAATCGGGTGCCTCAGCGGGGATGCTGTCTGCGTTCTTCTCCAGGAAGCCCTCGCAAGTGTACTCGACTGTGCCAGCAAAGTGCTGGATTCCAAATGCGGGGAACTTCTTTTTGATTTTCGGCACGACCATTCGCGGGTGATCTGCGTGCGCCCTGGATATCTTGCTGACGAAATTCTCTGCCTTCCCACTCGCAAGCGTAGTTTCTTCGTCCAGGCTCTGGAAGATTCCCCCCTTAGTCTTCAAGAGCTCCACGATGTCGCTGTTGTCCTTGTAGCTGAGGTCTTCGGAGCAGTCCAAGCCCTCGGCCTTGTACTGATCCAGCTCCATTTTGAAGAAGGCATTGTTGAAGTGCTGCTGCAACAATTCGTTCGCATAATTGATGAACAGCTGCTCCAAATCGTTCCGTGCGAAGCTCTCGAAGCCAGCGATATCCAGCACGCCGAAAAACGTGGAAGCACTCTCGCAGTCGCCCAGCGACTTGTTGATCTCCGCCACCAGCCACTTGAACAAGCGGCCGTACAACAACCGCGCGATGGAATCCCGCGTTGCCGAAGCATCTTTGGCATTTCTTGGCACAGTGATGATGCTGGCCTTGCCCTGCTTGATCTTCTGCAGCAGGGGCATGCTCAACTGCTCCGGGTTCATGCCGAACAGCTTGGCAGCCTCCTCGACTGGAGCCTGGTCAACGAACGCAGAGCCGTCGGCGCCACCGACGTCCTGATCTGTGTACTGGATGTTCCCTAGCGAGAGGACGCCCATAGTAATGCGGAAGATCTCCATCTGGACCTCGTGGCTGAAACCAAGTTGGCTGAATGCCTTTTTGGTCTCGCGAAACCACTCCTTGTCGTCTATTCCGGACGCCTCGTGCCTGGCACCCTTGAGGTACAAGTAGTCATCACACTTTCCGAAATTGTACTCGGATAGCTCGCTGTCGCCCCGGGCCTGGATGAGCTGGAAGAAGATGTGGTAATTCCGGTCGCGGGGGCCCTGGCCGCACACGCGGGTGAGCTCCAGCAGGTAGTCCGTGATCGAGCATCCCCGTATCCTCAGGTCCTGAGACATGCCGATCTGCGTCCACTTCCCGAAGCGCGACGAATTGTTGTTCCTCTCCGTGGTGGCGTTTCCGAAGGACTCGAGCACCGGATTCACGCCCATGATCTTGTCCTCGATGCCACCAACACCTGCTGCGTCGCTCGAGGCAGCCTCGGTCCTGGGGTCGCCACTTCTCCCGTGCTCGCCCAGCGGCTGGCCCTCGCTCCGGCCACTCCACGCCTCCACGCCCGCGTTCGCCGCCGAGGGGCTGGACGGCCGAGTGGCGGCCGCCTGGCCCGCCGCGCCACCGTCTGGGACCATTCCGTGGTGCCCCGTCGCCGCCTGCGCCACGTACTTGATGATCAACTTGGCCGACTCCGTCTTGCCGGCGCCCGACTCGCCGCTGACGAGGACAGCCTGTGCGCTCTCCTTCAGGCCTCTGAACGCGTTGAAGCCGGTTCCGAAGATGTGCGGGTCCATCGACGACGTGCTTCCAGCTGTCAGGAAGGTCTGCATGGTCTCGTTGGAATAGATGGGCAACCACCTGAAGGGGTTCACGGCGATCAGCATCTGCGAGACGTAGGTGTAGATCTCGTCCCTGCGATAGCGCGTGCGCACTGTGTGCAGCAGAGCACCGTCGTTCACCTCCTCCAGCAGGCACACGTCGGCTACACCCTGGAGCTGCGAACCCTTTACCCTAGCGAGCTTGTCATCGGTACCCTTCTTGTCTGGGACAAGGCTCTTGCCCTCGAACGCATCGGCAGTCCCGAAGACCAAGAACCTCTGGGCCCGAGGACTCTGGGCGTCCTCTCGGCCACCTTCTGGTGTGGCGGGCGCCCATACCAATTCTGGGTGCCTGACCCAATATGCCTCCTCCAACATACTGTGGGCCTGCGCAACCACCCTGGCTCCCCGGCTCGGGCGGCACCCATGAAAGGCCCCACCGCTAGTCGGCTCTCTACTTCCGGGGGCCTTGAGCCGAAACGATTGCATACGACCCCCCCCCCTCCGCTGCGTCCACAGCCCACTGACCCTGCCGCCCTTGCGGCCGATGTCGCCGTGCTTGCCGTCGCCGTCGCCATTCATACCGTCGTCGTTGCTGTCGCTGCCACCGTGGCCACCACGGTCCCTGTGTTGATTCTGATCTTTACCGTCGAGGTGAACTGTTTTCTTTTCTCTGAGCACGACACCGCCGAATGCCGTTATACACGTGCGCAAGCTTGGCGTGACAAGCCGCAGCACCCCTAAACATCAAACCATGTTCGAAAGCGTGAGAAAAGACAGAGAGCAGACACATAATCACAAAACGGTAGCCAACAGAGCGGGCAGGGGCAAGAGGATAGGAGCGGGAGCGGTCGAATAATCGGTGGCGCAACAGACAGGGACGTACGCGCGAGTCGGACTGGAAAGCAAACAACACGCATCACTCTACCACGACATTGCCAGCGCATGCACGGCCATAAACTCCATCGTGCGGCAAGCGCAGTGTGAGTCCGGCCCTTACGTTCCATTTGGGAAGCTTGCGGTTGCCCTGCTCATACGGCGTCGTGCGAATCTTGCTTCGAACCACAAGGGCCGTCGCTTGCAAAATCGACAAAGGAGCAAATTACCGCACGAGTGCTTACTGAGGTCGCGGTAATGCCGAGCATCATGAACAAGTTGTGTGCATGCTACATTGGGTCTACGGAGGGTTCAATGTCTCCGCAAGCTGGTGCATACTGCCCGAGGATGTCGCCCATAACGGCCGTGCTACGACGATGCCATAGTATCAATCGAATGTCACATGTAAGGGAACAGTCACACGCAGTATGAGGTGGCAGACCAATCGCCTTACTCTAGCTGCTGTGCTAGAGTGCTAGATGCGCGGGATTTCCGTAGAGGGTAATGCGAGAGGGGCCCACCCAGGAGGGGTCCAGGAGGGCCCTGGCCCTGGCCGTGCTCTCACCCCTGTCCCAACTCCGGTTCGCCCGAGACTTCCCCACAACTGATTCAGCAGCCGCGCTCTCGCCTCAGCGCTGGCCACATTTTTGGCCCGGACGGCCAGGATCCCGCGTGCAAACTGCGCAAATGTGCCCAGGGCCGTGCTCTCACCCCAGTCCTGACTGCTCTCACCCCTGTCCCGCCCCTTCACCTTTGCGGCTATTAGGGTGCTTTGCTGAAGCATGCTGTACAGCACGGTCGAGAACATATGTCTATGCTATCGAGCGTGGAACCCAAACGGTAAGTTATTCCACTGTGGGTGTGTAAGCTATGTGCTGTGAGCTATGTGGTGCAAGTATTGCGGTATACGCCATTTGGCGCAAGCTGTGTGGTGTCAGCTATGTGGTGCACTCTAAGTGGTGCAGAGTATCTGGCGTCAGCTATGCGGCGCAAGCTACGTGGTGCAACGGCAGAGAGGCGGCACCGGGCGGCAAAGTGGCGAAGCCCCGGCGGACCCCCGCAGCGCACCGGGCGGCAACGAGGCGGCAACGAGGTCGGCCACGTGGCCGACGCCCGGCGGACCCCCCAACAGAGGCGGCAACGAGGCGGCAACGTGGCGAAACCTCGGCGGACCGCCCCGGCGCAGCGAGGCGGCAACGAGGCGGCAGCGGGCGGCAGCGTGGCCGCACCCCGGCGGACCTCCCAGGCCCCCGGAACCCCGGCGGGCCCCACGACCGGATCGGGCGGCAACGAGGCGGCCACGGACGGCAACCTGGCGAATGCTCGGCAGACCCATCCAATTTCGTTGGGACGTAAGCGAGATTCCCTAAGTGCAAACTCAGTTTGGGAAATATGGCCATCACGAGAGCACATTTACATTCAAGCAAATCTGCTCCTGGGCCTGAATTCGCAGCGTCGGTGCTGTTCGCAAAGGCGCGAGCGGGGAACACGAGGTCCTGGGGCCCCTCTGGGGCCCCAGATCCAGACGAAATCGCAGTGTTTCCCTGACACCCCGACCGCGGCATCTCAGATTGTTCAGAAACGACAGAAGTATGGCCATCGCCTAAGGACCGGGGCGTCTAAAGATGGGGGCGTCCATGAGGGGGGTGCGCAAATCATGGCCCGAGGGATGTGCGCGGCCCAAGGGGGTGGACCACGGCAAGCATGAACATAAAAAGAGCGGGCCATGACGTCCGGGGAGATTTCATGGCCCCAACCATGAGATCCCCCTCCGTAGTCAGCACTCCCCTTTTGGCCCCCGTCTGCCGTGGCGGGGGCCTGTCGAGGAGCCAGGGGCCTCGAACGCGGGCGCCCCGCTGAGGCCTCCGTAGGCCTCTCCCCGGAAAGCCTTTTGCAGGGACCTGCGGAGGCTCCTCCCCCATGGGCTACACGCATAGGGGGCAAACAAACCTACCCCGCTTTTGACCACCCTCGCTTCCAAGAGATACCAAGCGATGCCAAACTATGGCCTGTACTGATCAGGCCGCTTGACGAGGAGGCGCGTGGTATGACTTGGTTTTGCCTGGAAGCGAAAGCGGGGTAGGTCATTCACGCTCTCTCGGCTACACGCCGGTGGCCCCAGGCAAGAGCGACCGACCATTGGTGCGCGGCTGCAGAGGGCCGCGGGGGAGGCCAAATCCAGGCAGTCCCAGCGTGCCAGCCAGGTGCTGGTGGGACCCCTTGTGTGCCCGCACAAATCGTCGTTGTCGGGGTCAAGTTGCATGGCTTCTGTCGATCGACCCCCCACCGACATTGTCGGTTCATTCGGGCTCGCACGTGGAGAAGATGTGCAAACTTAGCCCTAAGAGCGGGGGCTGATTTATAACGACCCGAAACCTTCTCGCCACCCAGTCAGGGGCACATGTTGTCGGCATAATTTGGGCGCTTCGGGGAAACACTTTCGGGGCCACTTTGGGCCACGACGGTGTTTCACTCCGAGCGGGTTCTCGACGGTTCTCGACGGCCCCTGGGGCCGGGGCCCCCAGTGGCCGGACATCATCAAACACCTTCCGCAGCGTGCCCTCTCTTCACGAAGCGAGGGGGGGGGGTGATGCCGGGGGGGGGGGCGAGGTTGTGGGCTTGTTTTCCACCACCACGAGTAAGTCGGGCCTGTCCCTCTACAGGAGGAATATTCAAAAATATTATCCCGGCACAGCAACCTAACAGCGATGTGTATAAGCATATCTGGAAGCATTCCCCTTACGATTCAGGTGAGAATCCAGTTGTAGAATTCTGCTGTTCTCGCAGTCGCAGTCGCATTCGCAATGACAGTCGCAGTGGCAACGGCCTTAGGATCCAATGGAATCCTAAGAACTCCTAGGGATTCCTGAGGCATCCTTAGGCATCCTTAGGAATCCATAGGAATCCTTAGGAAACCTTGGGAATCCTGATTCCTAGGGATTCCTAGGGAATCCTAAGGATTCCGAAGGATTCGCCTGCCTCGGCCTCAGGCTCAGCCTGCCTCAGCCTCAGCCTCAGCCTGTCTCAGCCTCAGTCTGCCTCAGCATCAGCCTCAGCCTCAGCATCAGCCTGCCTCGGTTTGCCTCGGCCTCAGCCTCAGCCGCCTCGGCCTCAGCCTCAGCCTGCCTCAGCCTCAGCCTCAGCCTGCCTCAGCCTCAGCCTGCATCAGCCTCAGCCTCAGCCTGCCTCAGCCGCAGCTTGCCTCAGCCTCAGCCACAGCCTCAGCCTCAGCCTGCCTCAGCTTCAGATTCAACCTCAGCCTGCCTCGGCTTGCCTCAACCTCAGCCTCAGCCTGCCCCGGCCTCAGCCTCAGCCTCAGCCTGCCTCAGCCTCAGCGTCAGCGTCTCAGCCTCAGCCTGCATCAGCCTCAGCCTCAGCCTGCCTCAGCCTCAGCCTCAGCCTGCCTCAGCTCCAGCCTGCATCAGCCTCAGCCTCAGCCAGCCTCAGCCTCAGCCTGCCTCAGCCTCAGCCACTGCCTCAGCCTCAGCCTGCCTCAGCCTCAGCCTGTCTCAGCCTCAACTTCAGCCTGCTTCGGCCTCAGCCTGCGTCAGCCTCAGCCTCAGCCTGCCTCAGCCTCAGCCTGCCTCAGCCTCAGCCTCAGCCTGCCTCGGCGTGCCTCAGCCTCAGCCTCAGCCTGCCTCGGCCTCAGCGTGCCTCAGCTCGGGCATTCAAAATATGGCACAAGACTGGTGTTCTGGGAACACGAAGATCACGAAGTGGCCCACATTTGGCTCCGGGCAATCAAAATATGGTACGCGAATGGTATTCCGGGAACACGAAAAACACGAAATGGCCTAGAATTGGCTGCGGGCATCCAAAATGTGGCCTGGGAATTAATGTTTTGGGAACACCAAGAACACGAAGTGGCCTACAGTTAGCTCCGGGCATTAAAAATGGGGCCTGGGAATGGTGCTCTGGGGACACGAAGAACACGAAGGGGCTTACAGTAGGCTCCGGGCATTCAAAATGTGCCCTGGGAGTGATGTTCTGGGAACACGAAGAACACGAAGTGGCCTACAGTTGGCTCTTCTGGGCATTCAAAATGTGGCCTGGGAATGGTGTTCTGGGAACACGAAGAACACGAAGTGGCCTACAGTTGGCTCCGGGCATTCAAGATGTGGCCTGGGAATGGTGTTCTGCGAATGGATCCCTAAGGATTCCCAAGGATTCCTAAAGATTCCTGGGGCTGCACTTTTGTCTGGTTCCTTGTCCGGATCCCGCCCAGACCCCCCTGGGGCGTGAAGATGCTCTCTTTTGATCCCACTAGAAACCTATCAGCAAAAGCTGTTAGGTAAAAACAATAGTCTGGGGACGATTTCTTGTTTCAACATATGTTTTGAAAACGATCGAAATGAATCGGATCGGCGGAAATCGCCAGCCAAATCGGGAGAAGTCGAATCGACAGAAATCGGCAGGCTAGTAAGCATCCATTGAGAAATCGGAGCCCCAGTCGGAATCCGAAGTCGAATCGAATCGGAATCGGATGCCATCGACATCGGATCGAATCGAATCGGAGGAGTCGAACCGAGCCGTGGAAGCGGAAAGGCCCGAGGGGCGTCCAGCCGAGGGGGAGACCCCCACAGCGCAACGGGCGACAACG